CGTAAAAATGACAGTTAAAATTAGGCGTAACGGTTTGACAGTAAGAAAAAAAAAGTCTGTAAAATGGGTCAAACCATTCACGCCGAATTAATTAGGCTAGCACCAACTCAAAAGTGTCATGGCAGATATTTAACTATGAAAATGATGTTTCGCTGCAAAAAAGGCCATTTTATTTCAATATTTGACAATACCTGAAATGTCATACAATAATGTTAAAGTAGATTTCTAAATTGGAAAAGTAGGAAGTTCTAGCCGTACGTGAGTCACGTACGACTAGCAAGGACACACTGTATTGGCTAGCCTGATACGGCACTTTTCAAAGGTATATGGAAATCGAAAATGCACATGTTATTTTATGACTTTAAACGAGGGTTTTAACCAAAAAACAGCAATTATCTTCGTATGTTTACTTTTTAGATTATAATCGCCTTGTTGGCTACTGTAAAGAAAGTACGAATATCTATCTTTGTCATCTCAAGACGTCGAGAAAAAATAGCGTTTGGTTGCAGTAAAATAACATCAATTGAAATAGTTTACAAAATTTTAATAATATTCCTTTTTTGTTTCACTAAGTTTAATTTTCAAATTGAAAAACCAAAAAAAAACAAAAATAACCACTCGATATTTATCTGCTGTATTTGAAAATTATTAAATTATTTTTGCTTTTCACCGTTTTCTGATACTAGTATTCATTTTATTTATTTATTTATTTATTCCTGTCCGATCATTATTTATTCAATCCATGTGCTTAATTAACCAAAATGATTTAACAATTCATCTTTCATACAAATAAAACAACAAATCATAAGCATGAAAATCAAGGACATTATAATTAACTTATAGCATTCAACTTTGACACTTTTATCAAGATAAATTGTACAACGCTTGTTCGTAATCGTATTCATTTTTTTTTACAAAATGGCGGAGCATCTTTATTAAAGTGAACACACTAGGACAAATTAAAATCCTTGTTTAAAGACATAAAATCACATATGCATTTTCGACTTCCATATAATTTTTGAAAAGTGCCGTACGGCTAGCCAATACAGTGTGTCCTGGCTAGTCGTACGTGACTCACGTACGGCTAGAACTTTTGTTCCTTCTAAATTTTTTATCAAAAAATTCACAAAATCAAATTGCAAAGAAAAACGATGTAAGATCAAAATTCAAAGCAAGTTATTCTGGTACGGTTTCATTACGGGGTTGATCTAAAACTTTAAAGCCGTATCAGATGAAAAACAAAATATTGAAAGAGCGCCCGCTGTGGCAGTTAAAAGCTTTGGAAGCCAGAACTAAGCATGGACATCGATGGACGAATCGAGTAAAGGACGAATCGAGTAAGGGTTGAATCATTCGCAGAGAAATAATGATAAGCTATTAAAACTGATTAACATAGCGCTTGATTAAAACAAATTCACTAAAATCAATTACTACAAGAATAAAAACTGCATAAACATGATAATTAATTAAAATCTTCTTACCCTAAAATTTGATATTGGGCTATTCCAGAAAATGTCCGTACCCCCCCTATAGAAGGCACTTTTTTTTGTCCAGGGGGGGTATTTTCATAGAGGGATTTTGTCCGAGGGGTACCCGTCCAGGGGGGTGTATTTGTTTGAAATGGTTTGTCCAGGGGGGTCTTTTTCAGCAAAAATGTTGTCCAAGGGGGGTATTTCTCAGGAAAAATGCCTTCCATAGGCGTCCAGGGGGTATCTGTCCAGGGGGGAGGGTATTTGAAATGGTTTGTCCAGGGGGGTGTTTCTCAGGAAAAATGCCTTCCATAGGCGTCCAGGGGGTATCTGTCCGGGGGAGGGACGGAGGGGAGGGTATTTGAAATATTGAAATAGTTTGTCCAGGGGGGTGTTTCTCAGGAAAAATGCCTTCCATAGGCGTCCAGGGGGTATCTGTCCGGGGGGATGGAGGGTGGCAGAGGGTATTAATGAAATGGTTTGTCCAGGGGGGTCTTTCTCAGCAAAAAATGCCTTCCATAGAGTGTCCAAGGGGTATCTGTCCAAGGGGGGTGGGGGTGGAAATGTGTTGTCCAGGGGGTATTTTTCAGCAAAAAATGGTGTCCAGGGGGGTGTTTCTCAGCAAAGAATGCCTTCCATAAGCGTCCAGGGGGTATCTGTCCAGGGGGGTTTTGAGATGGGTTGTCTGTAAATAGGCCGTCTGTCCAGGGGGGTCTTTTTTAGTCAAAAATGCCTTCCATATAGTGTTCAAGGGGTATCTGTCCAGGGGTGTTTGAAATTGGTTGTCCAGGGGGTATTTTTCAGCCAAAAATGTTGTCCAAACGGGTGTTTCTCAGCAAAAAAAGCCTTCCATAGGCGTCAAGGGGGGTTTTGAGATGGGTTGTCTGCAAAGGGGTTTTTGAAATAGGCCGTCTGTACAGGGGGGTCTTTTTTAGTCAACAAGAGCTGTCGGTAGGACAGCACGCTCGACTATTCTTAGTGCTTGATAGTAAAGGAGCCTTGATAATGTTAAATTTTTTAAGTTCACAAAAGGGCTAATTTTTTTTTATAAATTCATGTTATAGGCCTTAGAGAGAGTCTAATTATACAGTATTGGCTTGACTATTCGGAAGGTAATGTCACAAGGGTGTTTTATTGAGTATAATAATACTAATTACCTATGAATACATAAATTTGACAGAAAAGGTACAAAGGCTTGTTATTAAGATGTTTTATCAAGTAAATCACTGATTTATTATTATGAATGCATAAAAGTGTCCCAAAAAAGGCACAAACCCTTCTGTAGTTATTGAGATAACAGCTTACAAGCAAAACCTTACCATGAATTTCTAAGTTGAAAAAGGGGAGAAAAATCAGCCTAAATGCAAGATAGAATTATAGATCTTTGTCAGTGACCTACAATTATGACCCTAAATGCATATGTGAAGTTTTAAATAAATATCTTTAATAGTTATTTAGATATGTAAAACTTGCATGTAAACATTAACCAAGAGACTAAGTGGAAAAGGGGATATGAATCAGCCTTTATGCAAGATAGAGTTATAGAACTTGGTCAGTGACATACAATTATGACCCTCCAATTATGACCCTAAGTGCATGTGTAAAGTTTCAAGTAAATATCTTTGAAGACCTTTAACTTTTAACCAAAATTTCTAAGTTTCAAAGGGGCAAATAATTCTGCAAATATTGCAGGCAGAGTTATGCAATTTTGCAAACTGATGTACATTGTTACTATAAAAAAGTATTTTAAATTTCAATTGAATATCTCAAGCAATAATTGAGATATTTGACTTTACAAAAAAACTTTAACCAAAATTTCTAAGTTCCAAAGGGGCATAATTCTGTCAATATTGTAGGCAGAGTTATCCAACTTGTCAATCTGATGTACCTTGTTACTATAAATAAGTATTGTAAGTTTCAATTGAATATCTCAAGCAATAATTGAGATATTTGACTTTACAAAAAACTTTAACCAAAATTTCTAAGTTAAAAAGGGGCATAATTCTGTCAATATTGTAGGCAGAGTTATCCAACTTGTCAATCTGATGTACCTTGTTACTATAAATAAGTATTGTAAGTTTCAATTGAATATCTCAAGTAATAATTGAGATATTTGACTTTACAAAAAACTTTAACCAACGCTGACGCCGACGCCGGGGCGACTACAATAGCTCTCATATTCTTCGAATAGTCGAGCTAAAAATGCCTTGCATATAGTGTTCAAGTGGTATCTGTCCAGGTGTGTATTGAAATGGGTTTTCTGTACAGGGGTGTTAGAAATTGGTTGTCCAGGGGGTATTTTTCAGCAAAAAATGGGTTGTTTCTCAGCAAGAAATGCTTTCAAGCAGGGGGGTTTTGAAATGGGTTTTCTTGCATCTCAGACAGGATTATCTACCTTTTACACCGGTGCTAGAAAACTCTGTCTTACACCCCCCATGTAAGACAAGCCGCGTGCTTTAAATGATGTCATTGACGCGCGCCTTTTATTAATGAATCGCATTCTTAGGATGACGGCATTTTTCCGTTATGAATGAAGTTGTATGTTCATACGCTACAATAAGAAAAAAGTGTGTAATGAGAATATCAGTTTTCATGATTTCTTTTCCGAAAATAATTGACATGTAATATGCAAGAAAAAGAATCAAACACCGGCTGTTGGTACAGACGGGAATATCTAGCTCTCGGGTAACTGTTTAGCGGAAACTCGGCAGAGCCTCGTTACCGCCATAAACAGTTACCCTCGAGCTAGATATTCCGGTCTGTACCGGCAGCCGGTGTAAGATTCTTATTGTCTGTTAAGGGGGGTTTTGAAATAGACTGTCCATAGGGAGGGGGGGGGTATTTTTTAGCCAAAAATGGTGTCCTTAGAGTGTCCAAGGGGCACCCTTCCAGGACTGGTACTAGAAGTAAGTTTAAAGGTGGTCTTTGGCAAAAATGCCTTCTATTGATTGTCCAGAAGGTATCCTTCAAGTTTTATTAGAAATAGTTTGCCCAGATTTTTTTTTTCAGCGAGAAAGCCTTGCATATTGTAACTGAGGGGAATCCTTTCTTTTTTGGGGTGGGGGTGAGGGGTTTAGGTTTGTCCGGGAGAACTTTTTCAGTATAAATGCCTTCTACAGGTTTTCAAAAGGATATGTGTCTTGGGTTGGAATGTGTTTAATGGACATTAACAAGGGTTAAAATATCAGGATTTTACTTTGATTAAATATAGGTGTTTGAACACCATGGGATATGTTTGGTGGTGACATGTATAAAGAATTCTGCACTAAAGCTGAAAGAATTCAAAACTAAAAGAAATTTATATTGTTGAAACAGCTTTTATATTTCCATGCAAAAAGTAGAAAAATAGCATTGATGTAAAGTAATGATAAAAATAAGCATGCCAAAATCAATGTCTACAATAATAATATCTACCATAACAAGACTTATGATGTCCCAAAAAAATCACTTTGTTGCAAAAAAGGTCAGTGCAGATTGGACCATAAAGCCATTTATCTGGGCTAATTACATGTGACATACTCATTAAACATACTTCAAATAAAATATTACACTGTTATATTTTTTGAAGTTTTTTATCTAACTGCTATACGCTTATTTTTTTAATTGTTATTTGTAACCGTGTTGCATTTCCACGCAAGAAAGTATGATCAATGAGGGTAAGTTAACTTACTTGTAACATTTATCTTAAGGTAATGAGTTTGGGCATCCTTTGCTTTTAGTAATTGATAAATTTTTCTGAAATCATTTTGTTTCAAATTATGTTTTTGATTTAAATTACTTAGCTATCATTTATATTTAATGTTTTAAAAAAGAAAGAGAAATTAGAAAAAAAAGGTGCAGGTCAAATGACCATTTTATTTTATTCTTTAAAGTGCTTGATTAATAACTAGTATCACTGTATATGTTACAATAACTATATTAGATTTAGATTTGTGTCTTGTTTGTAGGTATACCAGTACATGATTTTCAATGTGATTTTTCTGTCACTTCAACTTGATAGGAAATTTCAAGGTAGGTTCAATATTACTTTAAAATATTAACAACTTAGAAACAGATAAATATGAGTAAAGTGTTAGCTTTTATTACACAAAGCCATGCTTAAAATATTTTTACATTTACTTTATACTAAAACTGCGCTCGAAAAACAGGTCAATATGTAACTACCCATATGCAATTTGTTAAAAGTATTCAAAAATAGTCTTAAATTTAGACAAGAGCGATCAGTAATCACATGTGTCGCCTCATGATGGCCAATTTCATGTTGGGACAAATTTTGTGACAGACAGACAGACGGACAGTGCACAACAAGACTTGGTACTGATCATTCCTGTAAAGTTTGGATAAAATTGCACCAGTAGTTTATGAGGATTAGTCCAGACAAGCTTTTGCATATCTGGCAACACACAGAAAAAAACACCTTTTTATCAAAGGGCCATAACTCGGCCAAAAATCATTCAACCGGAAAACCCGTGCAATATGCGCAAGGACTTGAGCTACAGATCAATCCTGTAAAAAGTTTCATTGAAATTGCATTAGTGGTATAAGAGACGTAGTCCGGACAAACTTTAAAAATAAAAATTATTAAAGGGCCATAACTCTGAAAAAAATCCTTGAACCGGAAAATGCTGACAATATGCACAACTAGACTTGGTACTGATCATTCCTGTAAAGTTTGGATGAAATTGCACCAGTAGTTTATGAGGAGTAGTCCGGACAAGCTTTTGTGTATCTGGCAACACACAGAAAAAAACACCTTTTTGTCAAAGGGCCATAACTGGGCCAAAAATCATTCAACCGGAAAACCCGTGCAATATGCGCAAGGACTTGAGCTACAGATCAATCCTGTACAATTTCATTGAAATTGCATTAGTGGTATAAGAGAAGTAGTCCGGACAAACTTTAAAATTAAAAATTATTAAAGGGCCATAGCTCTGACAAAAATCATTGAACCGGAAAATGCTGACAATATGCACAACTAGACATGGTACTGATCATTCCTGTAAAGTTTGGATGAAATTGCACCAGTAGTTTATGAGCAGTAGTCCGGACAAGTTTTGTGACGGACGGACGGACAGACAGACGACGGAGAAGTGATCCCTATATGTCGCCACTACTCCGTAGAGGCGACACAAAAAGAGACCCATTCATTAAACTTCTCCTGAACATGGTTCATTCTAATGAACCTTTTAGTACTTGAACCTTTTAGTACTAAGTGACCTCCATGGTGGTGACATTAATTTAACTAATTCACCTATTTTTCTTTCAGATCTATATTTCTACATGCTATTGCAACTAAGCTTTTGCCACAAGATTTTATTGTGAATTTTGTAGGCAATGAAACATGTCAAATATCATCTACATGCTATTGCAACTAAGCTTTTGCCACAAGATTTTATTGTGAATTTTGTAGGCAATGAAACATGTCAAATATCTAGGCTCTGGGCATTTTCCTATATATAAGTCTATGTAAACTAATGGATCCCTAGAGCAGGGCCAATTTTGAATTGAGAAAGCCAAAAAAGTTCTTCACATCATGTCATTTTATTATTTTGCCCACAAAGTTTAATTTTCTTTCATTGGTTCAAAAGAATAGAATGAATACGAACATTCATATCATAATGTCTCACAAATGCATACTGACAGTTTGATGGACAGAAGACCAGAAGTATAAAATTTTACTGAAAATCTTTGGACTTAAAAACATATACAGTCTGTATATGTTTTACATCATAGAAACAGAAAAAAATGTTAGTTTAAGTTTTATTATTTAATGTCTTGTTTTAATATAAATCTATTATTCATACATTTACACACAAAATAACCATTTTTGTGTCGCCTCTATGGAGTAGTGGCGACATATAGGGATCACTTCTCCGTCGTCTGTCTGTCTGTCCGTCTGTCTGTCTGTCCGTCCGTCCGTCACAAAACTTGTCCGGACTACTCCTCATAAACTACTGGTGCAATTTCATCCAATCACCATACCAAGTTTGAAGTTCCTAGGCCTAAGGGTTCTTTAGTTATTGATCTGAAACCGTTTTTACCTAAGAAGTCAATGTGACCTTGACCTCTGACCCCTTGACTCCAAAATCAATAGGGGTCATCTACTGATCATGACCAATCACCATATCAAGTTTAAAGTCCCTAGGCCTAAGGGTTCTTTCGTTATTAATCGGAAACCGTTTTTACCTACAAGGTCAATGTGACCTTGACCTTTGACCCCTTAACCCCAAAATCAATAGAGGTCATCTGCTGGATATAACCAATCACCATACCAAGTTTGAAGTTCCTAGGCCTAAGGGTTCTTTTGTTATTGATCAGAAACCGTTTTTACCAACAAGGTCAATGTGACCTTGACCTTTGACCCCTTGACCCCAAAATCAATAGGTCATCTGCTGGTCATGACCAATCACCATACCAAGTTTGAAGTTCCTAGGTCTAAGGGTTCTTTAGTTATTGATCTGAAACCGTTTTTGCCTACAAGGTCAATGTGACCTTGACCTTTGACCCCTTGACCCCAAAATCAATAGGGGTCATCTACTGGTCATGACCAATCACCATACCAAGTTTGAAGTTCCTAGGCCTTAAGGTTCTTTAGTTATTGATCGGAAACCGTTTTTGCTTACAAGGTCAATGTGACCTTGACCTTTGACCCCTTGACCCCAAAATCAATAGGGGTCATCTACTGATCATGACCAATCACCATACCAAGTTTGAAGTTCCTAGGCCTTAAGGTTCTTTAGTTATCGATCGGAAACCGTTTTTGCTTACAAGGTCAATGTGACCTTGACCTTTGACCCCTTGACCCCAAAATCAATAGGGGTCATCTACTGATCATGACCAATCACCATACCAAGTTTGAAGTTCCTAGGCCTTAAGGTTCTTTAGTTATCGATCGGAAACCGTTTTTGCTTACAAGGTCAATGTGACCTTGACCTTTGACCCCTTGACCCCAAAATCAATAGGGGTCATCTACTGATCATGACCAATCACCATACCAAGTTTGAAGTTCCTAGGCCTTAAGGTTCTTTAGTTATTGATCGGAAACCGTATTTGCTTACAAGGTCAATGTGAACTTGACCTTTGACCCCTTGACCCCAAAATCAATAGGGGTCATCTACTGGTCATGACCAATCACCATACCAAGTTTGAAGTTCCTAGGCCTAAGGGTTCTATAGTTATCACTCGGAAACCATTTGGTCTACGGACCGACGGACCGACAAGTGCAAAGCAATATACCCCCTTTTCTTCGAAATGGGGGCATAATAAGAAACATACATATGAAGTTTGAAGCAGATACATTAAGAAATAAAGAAGTTATTAAAAAAAAACATTTTTTCATGAAAATTCTAAGTTCAAGGGAGGTAATTCTGATAATTTTTGCTAGAGTTGTAAACCTTGTCACATATGATGTGGTTGATGACCAGAAGCTAATATTTAAAGCTTGAAGTAAATACCTTAAGAAATAAAGAAGTTATAGTGAAAAAAACGTAATAACTGGAATCAGAAATCTTGAAATTCAGTGTATTTGTTGCCATAGCAACCAGAATTTTCAACATAGGAAGTAAAGAAACAAGAGCATTCACAGGAGACAGCGAAGCTCGACTAATAAAATACTGGACGCAGTAAGGAGGACAAAACTATGAAAGAAAATCAATTATGTATAATTATCTATTAAGTTATAGTAAAAAAATAACATTAAAATTTTGTTAACATAAATTTCAAGATCAAGGAGAATAATTCTAGAAATAGTCACGCTAGAGTTATGAACCTTGTCACACAACGTGTGTAATGATAAGAAATATATATTTGAAGTTTGAAGTAGATACTTTAAAAAGTAAAGAAGTTATGATATTTCTTAAAGAAAATCCTAAGTTCAAAGAGAGATAAATCTGTAAAAATAGCTTCAAGAGTTATGAACATTGTCACATAAAATGTAATTGATGATAAGGACTAAGTATTTGAAGTTTGAGGTAGATACCTTTAAAACTAAAAAAGTTATAGTAAAAAATAACATTTTTCTAGTAAAAAAATCTAAGTTTATAATTCTTGCAATATTGGTGCTAGAGTTATGAACCTTGTCACATAAGATGTGGATGATGATAAGGTACATATATTTGAAGTATGAAGTTGATCCCTAAAGAAATAAATAAGTAACAGGTAAAAATAATATTTTATAAGGAAAATTCTAAGTTCAAGGGGAGATAAATCTGAAAATATTGTATATTAAAATTATCACTAGACACAGAAGACTACAAGTTTTACCCTTAAAGGTTTAAGCACAGGACACCTGCATGTTGTAAATTGTAAAATTTTAACTGTCATGTAATTAGCCAATCAGGAGAAAGAAGGGTTTATGCGATTGAATGGGTATATTTTTTCAGATTCATTCCCTGGCAGAGCAGTTTTTTATGTCTGAGTAGGTGCCAAATCAACAAAAGAAAATTGTGGTAAGTTAAACAAATTATGATTTATAGAAAAAACTTTAGTTAAAATCTGTAGTAACAAGATTAATTTCCATCACCATCATCCTAATCTTTTATACAATTTGTTGAATAATTATCAATATGTCTTAAATGCATATATTTTAAAAAATTAAGTAATTGAAATACCCGATTCTTTTAAAATATTGGAAGGCATGTCTTTTTTGAGCTCAAAACTTGGCTGGGTACTTATGATCTACTCTATATGTGCTGTTTTCATGACCATTCACACTATGATGTTTATCTAAAATAAAAGATATTTTGTATACAAAATGTTAAATCTTTTGGGAGCAATTTAATATGAATGCAGTTCTTTAAAATAAAATAAAATAAATATTACATTATCACAGATATGCACAAACATATAACAGTATTACAGTCGCAATTATCTCCTTTATCTTTTAATGTTCTTATTTATTGTTTACCTAGCAAGGTTTAAAAAATGAAAATGTGTATAATTATAAATTTCAAAAACTTTCCAATATGAAAAAAATAATGATCCCAGTATCAATTGCAAATATTAAAATAATATTTGATTCTTTATCAATACTAAAATTTATCTTCTGTGAGATGCTGTTGTAGTATATTAAAAGAAAACATTAAAACATCAGAAAATGTCAAATAAAACTGGTTTTGAATAAATAATGTAACCTATGTTTACACATTTTAATCAAATTCAAAGAGTGGCTAGAGTGCAGCAGCATGTAGTATGGAATGCCAGACATACTGTATGCAAGTTATTTTCTTCTTAGTGTATAGTGTCACAAATATAAGGTAGCTACATTAAATGATTCAGCGCAAAATAATACTAAGTAATTGGATTTTTCAAAAAGTTAAAATCTGTTTCTCTGGTATGTTACATAATATAGCTCTGGGGAATTAACCTAATAAACTGCACAGCATTTTAACATGATATTTATATTTCTAATGATTATTTTACAATTTAAGGTGGGAAAAACCTGATGTGATTGTGTTAGAAAAAATTATCAATGTCTTTTTACAATCCATCTCAAATTTTACAAAAATTAAATTGTTTATAATCTAAGATGAAAATGTATCACTTTAAAAAACAGTCATAGTTGCACCGGCAATAACTAGAGGATATAAAATTTTGTTCATTTGAGTGAAATAATATTATGGAAATGGAATATATTTTCACGAAAAATGATAAAATGCAACATATTTTCACAAGCTGGGATGGTGAGTGAAAACATGTGGCATTTTATCATGTTGAGTGAAAATATATACCATATTTCATGACAAACGAAAAAATAACCTTTTTATTTAATTTCATTATCAAAGAAAAATGGTTACGAATCCCCTTGCTTGCTAAGCAACTGAGATTATACAGCGCCCAGTAATATATTGATGAATATAGACATAGTTAATTAAATACACATAAATTTTTTTGGTGTCTTTATTTTATTTCTTATTATATTTTTAAAGCGAAATACAGAATATTTATGGTGAAATAAATGTGAAATTCAATTGGTTTGCAGCATTTAATTAGCGGACTAGTTTTGACTGTTTTTGCACGCCATTTATGATCCTACATTGTGACATCATGTAAACTGTTTAAACGTCTGTACAGTCTTGATGACTGAATTAAAGATATTGGTGTTTGGATTTATTTTCTTAGTTAGACCATTTTCTATCATTCTAGATAGTTTTCAAAACAAAATTCAACAAAAAGTTGTTTCTTATTCATCAGATTTTTTTTAACAAAATGGCAAAAGAAGTCCCTTAAAATAAATATGAGTTTTGACTCAGCCCACTTTAATATTTATATTTCATTAATTATTTTTAACAAATATGAAATATATTTGACTGATATAGCACCATATTTCATGGGTAAAATTAAATAGATAGAGATATTTTGTGTGTTTACATATCTTTTTTGCATGGAATAATTTGCACTTAAAAATTGAAGATAATTGATTTATATCATTTTAATAAAAAAAAATTCAAAAACATACTTATCCCTATTTCACACCATTTAGGTGAATTTCTCACAGCTAACATTTGGAATCATTTAGAAAATACTGGAAAACAGTGTTTATCTTCTTTTTTTGAATTCATGAATTAAAAAAAAAATCTTTTTAATTGGCCCATCTAAATACTTTTTGATTTCATTGGTTTCAACTTCATTTAATTTCAACTATACTATATTTCAACTAGGAAATCACATTAGATTTCATCTAAGTCCATAATTTAATGTTATTGGAATGCCAGGGAAAATTTAATTTAAAAGAAAACCTCCAGAGCCAAACATCAGATTGCTTTGAAATTTTGAAATGTATATGATATGTTTAATAAGGGCATAGTACATCTGAAATGCCTCATGATCTAATGGTTTGATGTTGAATTTAAATCTACTTAAGTCTGATCACTGAGATTCTAGACAAAGTAGATCTATTTTGTAAATGACCAAAAACCAATTTTGAGCAGTATAAAGATTAACTGCATAACTATGAACTATTGCCATTCAATAAAATTTAAATGTTTGAAATAGTTTGCAAAGATTTCATTAAATTTTACTGACACATTTTGACAATTATATAAATTGTTTTATTACATATATTATAATACTTTACTTATGATCATCCATTTTTTAAATGATTAAATTGGTCAAATGTAGATAATATGGTGGAGTTTGAAAAACAAAACAAAAACAAAACAAAAACCCATACAAACCTTTAAAAATTCATATATTGATTGCCTTCATCTTGAGCCTATAACATTTTTAAGTTCAATCAATCCTTAGACTTTATTAATTTATAACTTACTTAATAATAAGCATTCTCAAACAGATTGGTCCTCCCACTGTTTTGAAAAATTAATGTATGACCCTATATTGGCACCCTGCTGTTTTGTAATATATCACACTTCCCAATATACAGCTTGTTAATCTCCAATAAAGTGCCTGGGGCCCCCCTCTGTGTGTATATTGTTAGGATCCATATCTCAGTGGTTTATGAGGGGCTGGGATAGATGATACCTTTTAAGGTTATTAAAGAAACTGAACAATTGACATAATTTAATCAATTATATTTCAACTCTGTAACTCTTTTGTCTTTGTTTCCTTCTAGTTATCATTTTTCATATTCATATAACAAAATATTTTTTTTAAAATAAAGCAATTTGGTGTTCTTAAATATTCTTTTAAATACCGTACATCATTAAAAACCTTAAGTTTATTTCTTTATTATTTTTCAGTTTTAGATTTCAGCGTATGTGAGATTTATAGTAAGCACCTTTTATAGGTGGATGGATATTACGGGAACAGATATACAATCAATTTTTGTAGAATTTTCATAGCAACCCTATCAATAAGGACTAGAAACATTGTTTTTCATGGAAATTGTGATATAATTGGATATTTTATGAGAGAGGGATGGACTTAACAGTTTTCCATCACAAATTCATTAAACTAAGACAATGAAGTACTATTTTATTTTTTATTGCTTAAAGGTATACATGTTTAATTAACAAGTGAATTTTTAAAAAAACAGATACATTAAGAAAGTCTGATTTAATCGATAAAAACTAAGATGACATATACAAAGTGCTATATATGACCAGAAAGGTTATTTTATTTTCTTTGTGCATGAAAAAAAAAGTGATAAAGTAAAACAGATAATAGTGGTGCTTATTCTAAAAACACCAAAAAAAATCCCAACAAAACAACAGATGTTGACACATTACAGATAAAATTTGGCAATTTTAGAGTATGAAAATGTCTATTTCTATATTTTGGGTAATGATATCATATTATTAAACTTTTGGGCACATTTGCTTTAAAATAAGACTTTTATAAAACACAAAAAGTAATTGCAAAATGCAATATATTTTTTTAAAAGCCGACAGTCACATTAGCCCCTACAGTGTTAACAAGGTTTTTCCATATTTGGGCTATGTGACATAGTTTTTTACCAAAAATGACCAATATTTGAACATGACCTAGAAATCATCAAAACAGCCTTTCTGACCAATTTTCAGGATAAATCAGTATCCCCTGGAGTGTTAATAAGATTTTTCCATATTTGGGCTGTGTGATCTAGTTTTTGACCACAGATGACCTATATTCGAAAATTGACCTAGAAATCTTCTTAACAATCTTTTTGAGAAATTTCCAGGATATCTGGATCAAAACAGTAGCCACTAGAATGTTAACAAGATTTTTCTATTTTTAGCTCCTGTGACCTAGTTTTTATAATCAGAGATGACATGATCGAACTTGGGTCGAACAAGCATTTACTTGGACAAACAGCCTGACCAAGTTTGATGACAAATGAGGCAAGAATGTGACCACTAGAGTGTTTAACTAATTTTGAAAGGACGATGGACATTCAAAGCCTGAGCCAGCTCAGATGAGCTAAAAATCACAGCATTTTCATCACAAAATACAACTTCAAGTGTCTATTTTTGTATCTAATAATGTTAATAATATCTATATATTATGATGCATTTCATAAATTTATGTGCAGTGCTTAACCTTTGTTTAAACCATGACGGTGACCTATATTTACTGTGTATAAATGTATCCAAAACAGTAATTTTATCGCTCAATAAAATAACTGTTGGGAGTTCGGATGGGAGGAATTTTATCACGAGGGCGTAGCCAAAGTGATAATATGATGCGCATTCTAACAACATACAGTAATTTTATCAAGCGGTAAAATCACCGATTTGGATATATTATTTCAATTCTAACACAACATCAACAAATGAATGCTGCCGTACCTGATATTAAGCTAAATTGCGCCCGATTTGTTTCTGTACTTATTTTTAGTGCGTCACATTTTTAGTGGTTACGTCACATGTATAATAATTACGTCACATGTCTAAATATAGAACGTCAAACAGTGATTTTATAGCATAAAAACACACTTTCGGTTCTTCTATGTTCAACAGGGAAAAATGCGGGTCATGTTAGAATATAGTATAACATGACTGTAATGAATGCGATTGTAGGTATGAAATAACTGTCTAATTTGTTTAAAATCTATTAAAATGGAAAAACAAGGAACATCGCAATGCGATGCAACCAGGTTTTCAGCAAAATATTTCACAGAAGCTTTGTCATGAAGGGGCATTTGTTTTTAATTGAACTTTTAGGAGGAATTATGGCTTTTTTAATATACCTCAAACAAAAATGATTGAGAAATTTTATGTTGTCTATTCGCCTTTTTTTCCCAAATGTTTTAGAAAGGTAAACAGTACTTTATTTTTGCTTAATTTTTGCATTTTTGCGTCTCTTGTCATTTTCTTTTGTCAACAATATTGGCGTGTGGTGTTTTGTGCGATATCAAGAAAAGTATGTACACAATTTTAAAAAAATACTTGAATGATGTCTTGGAAGAAACATGGGAATTTAGTGAGCGCCAGGGCACTTGATGACAAAGCTTCTGTGAAAGTTTGGTCAAAATCCATTGAGAAATGTAGGAGAAGTTGCGCACTGTAGAATTGTTCACTATATATTCTGTATAAGGAAAAAATATACAAAGGGCCATAATTCGGTCAAATATTATCCAATCAAAAAACCCTGACAATATGTGCCAGGCACTTGATAACAAAGCTTCTAAGGAAGTTTGGTCAAAATCCGTTGAGAAATGTAGGAGGAGTTGAGCACAGAAGAAATTGTTCTCTATATATTCTGTATAAGGAAAAAATATACAAAGGGCCATTATTCGGTCAAATATAGAACCAATTGCAAAACCCTGGCAATATGTGTCAGGGCACTTGATGACAAAGCTTCTGAGAAAGTTTGGTCAAAATCCATTGAGAAATGTAGGAGAAGTTGCGCACAGAAGAAATTGTTCACTATATATTTTATATAAGGAAAAAAAACAAAGGGCCATAATGAGGTCAAATATTATCTAATCGCAAAACCCCGACAACATGCGCCAGGGCACTTGATGACAAAGCTTCTGTGAAAGTTTGGTCAAAATCCGTTGAGAAATGTAGGAGGAGTTGCGCACAGAAGAAATTGTTCACTATATATTCTATATAAGGAAAAAAAACAAAGGGCCATAATTAGGTCAAATATATACCAATTGCAAAACCCTGGCAATATGTGTCAGGGCACTTGATGACAAAGCTTCTGAGGAAGTTTGGTCAAAATCCGTTGAGAAATGTAGAAGGAGTTGCGCACAGAAGAAATTGTTCACTATATATTTTATATAAGGAAAAAAAACAAAGGGCCATAATTAGGTCAAATATTATCTAATCGCAAAACCCCGACAATATGCGCCAGGGCACTTGATGACAAAGCTTCTGTGAAAGTTTGGTCAAAATCCGTTGAGAAATGTAGGAGGAGTTGCCCACAGAAGAAATTGTTTACGCCCGCCCGTCCGCCCATCCGCCCGCCCGCCCGCCCGCCGACATACCTCAATCTAATAACCAGTTTTTTCCTTCGGAAAACCTGGTTAAAAAGTGTAATAATAATAAAACAGGTAATTTCTAGTTTGTTTTCAATGTTTACTGTATAGATCAACTATTGAATGTATACATATTTGACAGGTCAATAAAATTGACAATAATATTGCAATTCTTATTTTAATATGTATCTGACAGGACTTTTCAAACACCATTACAGATACAATGGAAAGTGGAAATTTTTATTTATACATTCAATTAGGGCTGTCATTGATGGAAAATTTTGTATCGATATATCAAGAGACAATATAGACGATATATAGATATAGTTTGACAAAGATACAATGAAAAGCATTTAAATATGTGTTATAAATTGGGATCATGGTGTTATGCATGCTTGTGTTAGACATTACAAATACTACAAACTCACAGAAAGTTTTTTATCTATTTTTGTCACTGACATAAGAAAACAGTTTTAAGTTCAAGTTAGCCAATAAAACTGGAAAATGTGAATTCTCTTATTAGGCAAAATAGAGAGGTATAATTATAAACAAACAGAAATGAATAAATTTTAGTCTTGTTTCGATATTTTGATATTTAATGACAGCCCTACATTCAATGCAAGTCTTATAAGCGGCATATTGAAGAATGTGTTTCCTGATAACATCATGGCTACCTGTTATTACCTCTTTATGAATTCTTGTTATGTTTCCAAATTTTATATAATGTTATATTTTTTTTTCCATGTTATGTACTGCCTTGAGTTTACATTCACAGTTTATTCACTTTAGAGTAACTGTTAGATATGTTACAATTTATTAATAAAATGAATATTTATGTTTGTTTTAATTTCTTTTTCACTATCCTGTTTCTTGTACATAGAAAACAGCACAGCCATTTAAAAAGTGCCACAAGTAAAGAACTTGATACAGGAATGGTCTTTTAAATGATCCGGTAAAGTATCATATACATTAAGCTAGATAAAAAGGAATAAGAACTTAAATACTATGAACTGGTAGCAATTTATCTAATTTGTAAACCCAAATCAATCACATGATTACAAGATGCACAGGAAGCATATTATTGTTAATTGCGGTAATAAACGACTTTGACAAAACATCTTAAAAAGCTCATAATAATTTTAATACATACCTGCTACTAGTGTTTGTTGGCAACATGTGACACCAGAAAATTGTTTTTCTCATTAATGCATTGTAGCTTCATTCTTCCCAGGGTATACCTATATGTAACTTGTAATACAAGTTACAACATATATTTGTAAATGAAATGAAGTGGCAAAAATTTCGCGGAACACCGTTTTTTTTTCTTAAACATTTCAAAAACATTTGAAAGGACATTATAAAAATTTGTACATCTTCATACCTGTAGATATTGTTCTTAAAATTCCACGGAAAATAAAACTGTGCATTGCCTTTGTGAGCAATTAAGTTGATACATCTAAATACATTCTTGTATTTCTGATATCAAAAATTTATATGAATATATTTGTTTTGGGGGAGTATTTTTCAAAAAGAATGCATTGCAAATGTTTAGGGGGATGGAAGGTAAATGTTTGATCAGTTGGGTATTTTTCTGGAAAAGAGCTTTCCTAGCTTGTCAAAGGGGTACCTGTCCATTTGAGGGGATATGGTTTTAAAGCTTGTCCATGGAGTATTTTTCAGGAAAGTTCTTTCCAATGGTTGTCTGAGGTGTACCTGTCCAGGGGGAGGGGGGTTTAAATGCTTGTCTGGGGGGGGGGGTGTATTTTTTTTAGAAAAAGTGCCTTTCAGGGGTTGTCCAAGGAGTACCTATCAAGGGCGTGCAGGTACATTATGCTTGTCCAGTGGGTTCTTTTTCAGGAAAATAACTTCCATATATTGTCTAAGGGATGCATGTTCAGTCAGGTGCTTGAAATGCTTGTCCAGTGGTAACTGTGGGGCATGTTGGAAAATTCTTGTAAATAGCGGGTATTTTTCATGAAAATGCCTTCCACAGGTTGTCCATGTACATGCCCTAAGGGGGTGGGATGAAAATGTTGGAAAATGCTTATCCAGTGAAGCATTAGGAAAAGTGCCTTCAATAGGTTGTCCAAGGTACGATTTTTGGAAAACCGGTATTTTATAAAAAATCATAATTTTCAATTAATTGCCTTCTAATTTCGTACAAATTTCGCATAAAATCTTTAATTGGCAAATCTTATTTGTGCCGACGTAAGATGAAAGTATCTGACAACTAGTACACTTAAAAGTCAATAAACGGCCGCATAATTTACATAAGCAGCCCAGATGTAAAAGGTCATGCGCGACCAGTTTTGTCTATCAAATTGTGTGACACTTTACTTTCTATTTATTCCTTACAATTTTTTTAAGTTTCTACTAAGAATATATACATAATTATAATAATAATATATAATATTACACCATCTTTACATCAAAACATATACACGACAATACGTATTGCAATATATTGCAATACGCTAGGCAAAATGGCAATATATTGCAATACAGTTTTTGCCATATTGCTACACCCCTATTCCATAGGTTTCCAAGGGGTACATGTCCAGGGGGTGTTTCAAAACACTTGTCCAGGGGGTATTTTTTTAGGAAAGTACTTTCCATAGGTTGTCCAAGGGGTACATGTCCAGGGAGGGTGTTTCGAAACACTTGTCCAGGTGGTATTTGTTTAAGGAAAAGTGCCTTCCATAGGTTGTCCAAGGGGTTCATGTCCAGGGGGGTGTTTCGAAACACTTGTCCAGGGGGGTATTTTTACAGGAAAAGTGGCTTCCATAGGTTGTCCAAGGGGTACATGTCCAGGGGGGTGTTTCGAAACACTTGTCCAGGGGGGTATTTTTTAGGAAAAGTGCCTTCCATAGGTTGTCCAAGGGGTTCATGTCCAGGGGGGTGTTTCAAAACACTTGTCCAGGGGGGTATTTTTTAGGAAAAGTGCCTTCCATAGGTTGTCCAAGGGGTTCATGTCCAGGGGGGTGTTTCGAAACACTTGTCCAGGGGGGTATTTTACAGGAAAAGTGCCTTCCATAGCTTGTCCAAGGGGTAAATGTCCAGGGGGGTGTTTTTAAACACTTGTCCAGGGGGTATTTTTACAGGAAAAGTGCCTTCCATAGGTTGTCCAAGGGGTACATGTCCAGGGGGCGTGATTCGAAACACTTGTCCAGGGGGTATTGTTTGAGGAAAAGTGCCTTCCATAGGTTGTCCAAGGGGTTCATGTCCAGGGGGGTGTTTCTAAAACTTGTCCAGGGGGTATTTTTACAGGAAAAGTGCCTTCCATAGGTTGTCCAAGGGGTACATGTCCAGGGGGGGTGTTTCGAAACACTTGTCCAGGGGGGTATTTTTTAGGAAAAGTGCCTTCCATAGGTTGTCCAAGGGGTTCATGTCCAGGGGGGTGTTTCGAAACACTTGTCCAGGGGGGTATTTTTACAGGAAAAGTGCCTTCCATAGGTTGTCCAAGGGGATCATGTCCGGGGGGGTGTTTGAAACACTTGTCCAGGGGGGTATTTTTTAGGAAAAGTGCCTTCCATAGGTTGTCCAAGGGGTACATGTCCAGGGGGGTGTTTCGAAACACTTGTCCAGGGGGGTATTTTTACAGGAAAAGTGCCTTCTATAGGTTGTCCAAGGGGTACATGTCCAGGGGGGTGTTTCGAAACACTTGTCCAGGGGGGTATTTTTTAGGAAAAGTGCCTTCCATAGGTTGTCAAAGGGGTTCATGTCCAGGGGGGTGTTTCAAAACACTTGTCCAGGGGGTATTTTTACAGGAAAAGTGCCTT